AGTAATCTGCGTCCTTCCCACAGTTCTCAGCTGAAGAAAATAGGATTTGTCTTCCAATTGGCAGAAAAGAAAGCCTTTAGGGCTGGCAGACTAAAATCTTTCCAGGAAGTGGATGCTTGAGAAGAGATTAAAAAGGGTGTGCTTTATGATTCTGCCAATCGAAGAGTTAAACGCCAGGCTGCCTGATCAGCTCCGAAGGCAAAAACTGCCAGGCTGAACAAGTTATTTATTGCCTGAGGGTGATCCCAGCCTTCTATCACCTCGTTAAATCCTTATAGCCAAGCCTTACCTAGGCTCCCAAACTCTATAATAAAGAGGACTTTCTTAACGCAACCCCCAGGAGTAGCAGCCATTTAAGGCAGTTTGTTATCTGCCACGGGGGCAGCTTTCAAGGTGACCATTTTACAGTAAAAGAAAAAGGAAAGGCTTTGAGAATGTGATTGCAAGCACTGTACTAGGTACTGGGCTGAGGAGGGTTCTGGTCAAGGTGCACATCCTTTTACCAAGAAGCTGGCAGGCTGCCTTTCTCAGAGTAGGACAGCTCTGTCCATGCTTCTGTGGAATGGGCAGTATAGACAAAAGCTAATGCTTAGCTTGTACAGAGGTGGAACTGTCCATCCACGGACCTCAAAGGAAGGGTGTGGGTGGGATTCTTTGAAAGCCACTGTGTGAGTGCTGAGCACCTGCTATATGGGTTTGCAGCATCACATGTGACAGGAAAGGGAGAGGAGTCTGCAGCTGGGGTGGGGATATATCAAAGGCAGCTTAACCCCACTGCTGCACCTTCCTAATGCTCTGCTCCTCTCAGATGAAGGAGCATCAGTAGCATGAGTGCTCTTTTATAACTCCCGTAAAGCAGTATGAGGTCTCCACAATGCTCTGGGTCTTCCCTAATGCTGCTCTTACTGTCTCTAGCATTGTTTCCTACATGGCTGGGATGTAGGGGGTGTGCTACGTTGGCCCTGTGCAGTTCTTGAGCCTAGTACTTGAGAGGAAATTCTCTCTTAGCCATTGGCAAGCTCCTTATTACTCGCCAGGACCTGAAGGAACATACTTAGGCTGCTCTTTCTAAAACTCTCAGCCTCCCTGCTTATAAATGGGCAGGGGGAAATGCAGAAGTGAGGAAGTTTTTCAGGTTGCTCAAGGTGACAAAGCTTAACTTTCCCTTGATGGTTATGAGCTCACCAAGTAAGAAGAGCAGGATGGGTTTTGGAAAGAGCTGCTCCCAGAAAGATCTGCTTTGCTTTTGCATCATGGAAGCATCAGGGAGCAACCCACTACATCGTAGGATGAGTGAGACTGAAGGGAGAGGGTCAGGAGGGATCTGATGAGGTGTAACAACAATGGGGAGGGGGATTGTGAGAACACAGCCATCCCCAGACACCTGCATACAGTGCTGTGCATTTCCAGGGGTGGCTGGGTTGTGGGTACTAATCAACAAGTCCCTCAAGACCTGCCCATGCTCCATAAAATCTCCCACCTCTCTGCCTGACCCATCACTCACTGCAAGCAAAACGCACCTTCTCTCTTCCTAACATCCTGCTTCTTTTCCCTGGGCTAGAATCATGCAGCCAGTGGACTAGAGAAATTAAACACAGACAGGATTTTATTTGAAAGTTGCTTAAACCTTTACACTCTCCTGTTCACCTGTCCAGCCTATTCGGATTCTGGCCCACAATAAGTCAGTTTGAGATGGATGGGTTAGGTGTCTTGGTGCTGTCTTAGGTGCTGGCAGAGCGGCTCACCTTTCCTCATGAACGGAGATATACTGTGGTCCACAGCCCAGCTGGGCATTGTTTCATAGTTGACAGAGGGGTTCTTCCTCATCTCCTTGAATGAGGTGTGATGGAGGATTTTATTCACCACCTCCTCCTTCCGGTCCTTTCCTAGGACTTGAATCACCTTCTCTACTTTCCACTTTGATTCCTGCAGAGACAAGCAAGCCAACCATCAGATGAGGAGATATGCTGAAACACAACAGTGTAGATGTGGGGGTTTAATTGTCTGTAACAGGACACCTTGTAGAACACGATGATGCTCTTTGGGTTCCACATAGTACCTGATCCAGAGACAAGAGGATTTAGATCAGGCCTTTGACTAGCAGAGAGTTTTGACTCCTTGAGAATGCATCATAACCAGTGACTTGTCTCCCCTGTAAAAACCAGGGTCAGCAGACAGGAAGGCACAGTAAATGCTACAGTTTGCAGTGCATCCTCAGCAACACACTCCATTTGCCCAGATGGCTACAACATATTGTGCCAATATCACACGATAGCTCTAGCATAGACACCACAAGGGGAGACTCATGGTGCATGATAGGGATAGACATTACACATAAACCAGTTTAAGTGATCAGAAACTGGTTTAAACCTGTAACAGAAAAGATGTTCAATGCACATAAAGCAGTTTGAAAATGACTGAAACCGGTTTGAGATAAACCTGGTTGAATGTAGTATCAGAGTTAACTGATTTGGCTCAAACCAGTTTGTGCAATGTCTGTCCCAGACCCCCTGCTGGTTTAATATAAACCAGAGTACCCCAGAATCCCAGCATGCTCTCTGGGCTGGGTACAGCTCTCTGCTCCACAGCATGGCTGGCCCCTCCCTCTGCATCTGCCTGCCTTCTCTGTGCTAATCAGGGATTATTCCCCCAAGCCCCTCTGCTTTATGCAGACACCTCAGAATTAGCTAGCAGACCACATGGTGGCTACAGTCTGTACTGTGGGACAGACAAAGGCAGACAGGATTTTTGGAGCTGATTAACAGATAGCTTAATGTTCTTCCTTGGAAATGTTTGAGAAGAACTGTTTGCTCCCCTCCCTCCCGCTCACCACTCTCTGCTAAGCACAAATTCCCCCTCCCCTCTGCCTTGCTGAGAGGTGTCTGTGTATTAGCCAGCGGACCACATGCTGGGTCTGTGCTGAATCAACAGATAGCTGGTAATGTCTCTCTGTTTTCTTAATAGGGCAATAAACACTGAGATAAGGGGTGATAAACACTGTTATCAGCTCCCCTTTTCCCCCCAGCTTGCTTGCCTCTCAGTTTGCTGCAGACACTATACAGATGCAGGGAGGGAGAGTGAAAAGCTCCATATCATCAACAGATGAATGCACTACACACACCCCCTCCCCTTGCCTCAGAGTGCTAGCCCGGGGATACAGGCTGGCAACACTCCTGCCCCTTGAGCAGTAAGTGGGGAAAAGCCTGGGACTGCAGGCAGAGTGGAGGTTCACATGCCTCCCCAATCAGAGCCCTGCTGGGGCCTGGCCATGCCCCTCACAGTTTAGCTCTGTGGAAGGGCAGGGAGGGCTGCTGTAATACCCCCTGGCTTCCAGCTTGAGCTACTGCATGCATGTGCCTGAGTTTCCTCAGTCCAGAGGGGTAGTCTGTGTGGTTGGAAACTGGTTCAGCCTAGCCAGGTTAGTGTACCTGCAAAGGTTGAATCGATTCAGGCTCAGGCTTTTTGAATGTCTGTCTCTAGCCCAAGTGTGGGCTCGTGGTGGGATGAAGGGGAGAGGAAACATATCCCGCTACAACTGACCATCTTCATTTGGTGACATCTGTTTATACCCATAGTTTTACAGAGAAAACTGCAAACAATGTGCTTGACCTAAGGTGAGAAGAATGAAGAGCTTGTGGCATGTCCATGCCTAGGGACAGACATTACACATAACCTGGTTTAAGTGATCAGAAACTGGTTTAAACCTGTAACAGAACAGACATTCAGTGCACATAAACCAGGTTCAAAATGGCCGAAACTGGTTTGAGATAAACCTAGTTGAATGTAGTATCAGACGTAACTGATTGAGCTCAAACTAGTTCGTGCAATGTCTGTCCCAGACCCATATGTCCAACACACTTCTCCTAGTAGAGTTGTGCTGATAATGTTTACTGTATTCAATCTCTGCTCCCAGGGGATAAGGAAGCCCAGCATGCAGTGGGAACCTATCTTGTGAGATGGTTCACATACCAGATCTATTGTGCTGACCTCCCAGTTGCCTCTTGCAGCTTACTGTGTCCCAACCTGCTTGAGCCAATGTGATATGCCTGTGGAGCACTTCTGGGATATGACTGCACCATGCTGAGCAGTGAGTTGGAACAGAAGGAAGGGTAGGAGGAGGGAACCCATGCCACAATGGCTGCTTGAAGTGGAACCCTTGGGTGGGATGGATTTTTATCTGTCTCGATTTTGGAAGGTGGTGAACTATATTCAGAGCTGAGCAGCAGGGGAAGGTTTGCCTACTGGGTTTGCCTATGTCTATGGCAGCTTTGCATGTCTCTTTTCCTTCTTGCTGTACAGACGACTGCATGGGGAGGGCAGGTCTGATTTCCACACTTTTTTTTGTCTATAGCTGTGCAACATCTGATTTGTTTGTTACTTATAACTGGATTCTAACCTTCTGTCTAAGCCAGGCTTTGCACATGCTAATAATTGGATCAGCCTCACAGCACCTCTAGGGCAGAATTCTTGGATTGGCTTTAAAAATGAGGACCCAAAACACAAAGGCTAGAGGACTTGATCCAAAGCCTAGAGTCAAGGGAAAGACTCCCAGGAACACTAGGGGCCTCTATAGTAGCTATAAAGGGCAAGATCATAAACTACTACAAGACTGTTTCAGGCTGGACATAAGGAAGAATTTCTTTACTGTCCAAGCCCCCAAGGTCTGGAACAGCCTGCCACCGGAGGTGGTTCAAGCGCCTACATTGAACACCTTCAAGAGCAAACTGGATGCTTATCTTGCTGGGATCCTATGACCCTAGCTGACTTCCTGCCCTTTGGGCAGGGGGCTGGACTCGATGATCTTCCGAGGTCCCTTCCAGCCCTAATGTCTATGAAATCTATGAAATCATTGAAAGTGCTTCAGCTCCAGTATTCCCACTGATGCTGAGGTATATACAACCGTTTGTCACCCAGCGCCAGGCTATGTGCTGAGGTACCTAAGTGTGAGCTAGTTGAGCTAGTTGTAGGGAGTTGATTTAGTCAGGCACAGAACATAGCCATCTCTGTGATGTTTTGTTACTATTCTGATTGTAACCTAGCTCCAAGTGAAAGACATTTTCCTACTGGTGTCACAAATTGGGTGGCAGAGGAGGTGGTCCCAGTGCTCAAGAAGGGAGCATGGCAGAGGGCTGCACAGGGGTTGAAGGATGGTCTTGCACTGGGCTGCAGTTCAGGAGGAGTAGGTTCAATTCATGCTCCTGCCACAGACTCCCTCTAGGAGTACCACAGCTGTACCACAGCTTCCAATGTGTCAGAGAGGAGAGACGCTGCTATGCCTCCTGGAGCATATGTTCATTGATGCCCGAAATGCCCAACGTGCAGAGAGCATCTCTACCAAGGCATGTTAACATCACCCTCCCCATTGACGATATTTGTGGAGAGAATGGGATTGGACATGGCAATGGTTTGTGCTTTCTACTCACTGCTTCACCTCTTTCAAGTCTTCATAGTGCAGGAACAGGAAACGATGGTCCTTTCCATTCTCCTACCAGCCTTTCACATGATCATACCAACACAGAAAGAGACATTCAGAGAGAGAAAGAAAGCACTAGCTTCAAGAGCACCCAAGTCTGGATTTAGTGCCTGCATCCAGACCAGTGCAGGATCTACAAGGTGTAAGAGGATCCAGTGGAATGGGGCAAGTTCACCACCACTGTGAGGTGGTGATGGACTTGCCCTGGCTTTGAGCCTTCAAACCAAAGTGAGAGAGTTTTGCAAAATGGGCTTTAGTTCAGGTGCTGGTTGTAAGGGGGAGAGGTGTGGGTAGACAGAAAGGTCCCTTCTGGTTTGGGAACTGGTGAATTTAGGTGATCTCCTGCTCACCCCCTTCTTTCTGAGAAAAGCTGTTCCCTGCATTGTCCTCCACAGGCTGCTCCCTGTTGTAATTCTTAGCTTGGTCTTAACAAGGCTTTAAAGACTGACTATTTATACACCATGAAAGCAATCCAGTGCAAGGGTCACCAACATTTTCTGGTGGGGGCTGGAATGACCCAGCTCAGGTCTGAGGCAGACAGGCAATGAGACCTGGCTGCCTCTGCTGCTTGTCCCTGCAGCCTGACTGTGGTGCGGTACAAGGAGATCCTCCCTCTGCTGAAGCTCTAGGCAATCCACTGCAGCACAGTGTCTGCAGAGCGAGCCCCCCGATAACAAATGCTGCCGCAGCCATGGCTCCATAGGTTGGATCCAACGGCTTGTAAGTCAGATCCAGCCCAGGGACTATAGGTTGCTGATCCCTGGTCTAGTGGGCTGAGATTCTCAGCTTTGGATGAGAAAATGAGAAGTGTCTGGGCCCAGCTCTAGGTGGGGATTGATTGTGAGAGCCCTGTCTGCATGTGGGCTCTGGTTATGGGTGTTATTTGTTTTGCAAAGATACTTGGAGGGCCCCCCACTGCTTGTGGCTGCATTGTGATGGGCACTGTGCAGCCACAGGTAGAGATGGTCTCTTCCCCAAGCATTTTGCTTTATCCATGGTAGAGAAAAGAGAGGGAGACAGAACCACGGAAGGCAGAGTTCCTTGCCAAAGGTCCCAGTGAGAGACACTGGAGTAGACTCCAGTCCTGCTAGGTCCCCAGCCACAAGGCCATGCTACATGCCAGAATGGCCTGTCTTGCGCTTGGGAGTTCCCGTCCTGCCAGTCTGGACCTCCAGGGAGAGACAGAGAGTTTGTACCTTTCCCAGCTTTGCTGACAAGCCCACCAGTGGGTTTCTGTCTTGGGAAAAACAGAATTCTGTTCTTTCTCTCAATTCTGTTCTGCATAGGCACCACCACACCCATTGCTGAGATCTCCCAAACTCTTCATTTACCATTCCCAGCCATGAATTTCTCCAGAAATTCAACCCAGGGGCTGGGATCACAGTGCAGCTTTGCCATCTGGCAGAAGCAGTAATAAAAGACAGTCACATCCTTGGCATTTTGGGCAACATAG